GAAGGAAGGAAGGAAGGAAGGAAGGAAGGAAGGAAGGAAGGAAGGAAAATGTGTGCAAACAATGTATTCTGATCACAGTTTCCTCTCCCTCATCTCCCAATTCCTCCCCACTTTTCTACCCATCCAACTCTAAGTCTCCAACAACAGACAGGCAAACAAACCAGAATAAAACAAAATGAAAAAGCAGATATATACACACACACAAATAGGAAACCATAATATACAAGCAAAGGACCAGTAAGACAAAAAAATGCCCAAACAAACCAAAAAAATTACAGGAACACCATCGAGTTCATTTTGATTGGGCAGGTACTGCTGGGCATGGAGCCTGCCATAAATGTGATTTGTGAGGCTCAGTTAGTGAGGAAACTAATTTTTCCTTTGCTGGTGGTTGTCAGTTGGAGACAAGTGCCTTGTTTAGGGATAGGCGCTGTGTCCGCTTCTCCCTCTCAGTGTTGGGACTCCGTCTGGCATAAAGCTGCGCAGGCTCTGTGCATGCTGTCACCATCTCTGTGAGTTCATAGGTGTGTCAGTCCTGTTATGTCTGGAAGACATTGTTTCTTTGGTATCATCAGTCTGCTCTGGATTTTACAGTTTTTCCGCTTCCTCTTCCACATGCATCCCTGAGCCCTGAGGTGAGGGGTTTCATGGAGCTGGCCCACTTAAGATTGAGTATTTGAAGGTCTGTCCCTCTACACATGAGTGCTTACTTTTCTCTTCTGGTAGTTTGCAGGGTATGTCCCAGTTCCACGAACACTGGGGGTTACACCCCAGCTCTGCCTCTCTGTGTTCCGTGAGATATGTAGATACTGTCTTCAGCAATACATCCTTACCATTAATTTGTGCAACCAATAGCTTTGGCAATAGCCTGAGTTTGGGGGTGTTTCCATGGAGGCCCTTCGGCCAACATCTCAATTAGATGTAACCCATTCTTTGTAGCAGTGAAAGGTCAGTTGGGGCTTTCTCTTCCCCATTATTTAATGTCCATTTTGATTTCTTTCCCATATGTATATATTTTAAGATGCTTCTACCACAGTACATTTTCATATTACCCCTCAAATGGTCCTTAGTGTAAGGTGACCCTCCCTGTATTCCGTCTTATCCCCTTCTCTGTTCCAGCTCTCAGTAACGCTCTACACATACCTAGAAAATGTCTGGAAAAATACCCAATAAATAATCTACTCCCTTCCCTGGAAAGTGCACTCAATGGAAAGGGTGATAAGGACATTTTGTATTTGCACATCATATAGTTCATTGTGGTCTTGATAATATTATTTTTAAAAGCATGTATCATCTGCAAAATTAAAGCCAAATGTGGAGCCTGCACTGAGTCAGTGACAAGGAGGGTTGCAGGAGGGTAAGCAGAGGCAGAGGTAGATTGGCCTGGGCCAAGCCTTACTAGTTTTAGTATGTTTGGTTTATTTTGTAGATTCTGTTAATGATTATCATACGTAAAAAAGAAAGAGAGAGACAAAACAAAATAATGACAGTGAAATTATTGAAAGTTCTATAATTTCTTCCCTGACTGATTTGAATGTGCTTCTGTTCTTTGGGGGACTTGGAAGAGAACCACGATGTTTGAGGTTAGCACAAAATGACCATTTATCATATCTTTGTTGTTTAGAAAGTGAGAGGAGCAGGAGATGAAAAACCATTTAGTGGTGTGAGCTGAAAACAAGGTCCAGGCTCGCATTGCCGGCTCCTGGCAGCAGCTTTTGGCTGAGCTAGCACAAGCCATTCATGCTGTGCCCTACTTTGTCCGAGCACAGCAGGAAACAACCGTGGTGCCTGGTCGCCCCCTGAAGTTGTGATTATTTGAAACAGTTTGAGAGCCTTACCAGGAAGACAGTCCAGTGTAAAGTATTTTGTGACAAATTTTGTTGTATATGATGCAGCTCAAAGTATTGATTTTAGAAGAAATAGTCTGTGTGTACATTGGTTCAAGCGTTTTCGTTTTTGTTTTGTTTTCGGTTGGTTTTTGTTTTGTTTTGTTTTCCTTCGATAGGGTCTCATGGGTGTACATAGCCCAGAGATAGAGTCACCTTGTAAGGTTTATGGAGCTGCTCTGGAATCAAGTTCATGGGCTGGAGAGGAACAGGGCTGGTCTGTGAGTCAGCCCAGCATAGCCTGAGGAGGTTCTGAGTCCATGGCTCCCTGCTGTCCCTGGCGTTTGGGAGTAGATCCATGTAAATATCTAAACCCTGGCAGCCACCTGCTAACTATAAGCAAGCCAGGGAGATCTGGGGTTTGTTTTTAATATTTGCTAACATTCATTCTGACCTCCTGTGCCTGTTACTCATTCTATAGCTTCTTATTGTTATAAAAATGCGTAATACTTTTAAGTAATTTGGAACTGACTTGTGTGTACAAAATAGTTAAGGCAACATCAATAAAACTATCTTCCAAAATTAAAAGTACTTCTAATTATACAAATGTCATTCTTCACTATATATTTTTAAAGATACCAGCTATATATATATATATATATATATATATATATATATATATATATATATATACACACACACATACATATATACGGATATATGTATGTATGAAATGAAGCCCTGCTGGAACACCTGCCCAGGCCTCTGGCTTCCTACTACTGTTTCTGGAAGCTCATGACCAGTCAACATTACTACTGTTTCTAAGCATAAGTAAGCTAACAATGCCTCCAGCTTGGTTATACTTCCACATCACAGTCCATCGTCAAAGGAAGTCAGGACAAGAATCAGGAACTTGGAAGCAGGAGCTGATGCAGAGGCCATGGAGGGGATGCTGCTTACTGGCTTGCTCCTCATGGCTTGCTCAGCCTGCTTTCTTATAGAACCCAGGATCACAGCCCAGGGATGGCCCCACCTGCATTGGGCTTGGGCCTCCACCATCAACCACTAATTAAGAAAGTCACGCAGGTTTGCCTGCCTATAGCCCATCTTATGGAGGCATTTTCTCAATTGAGGTTTCCTCCTTTCAGATAACACTAGCTTGTGTCAAGTTTATATAAAACTAGCCAGCACACTTCTATAATTCCAGCTCCAGGAGGATCCAACACCTCTGACCTTTACAGGCGCACACACACACACACACACACACACACACACACACACACACACACAC